CCTATGGCCCAATTAGAAAATAGCTCGGTCGCAAACTCCGCGCCCAAGACCGCTTTCCCTTCCACTACCGTTAGCGTGACGTTCGCATGATCCCCAGAGTGAAGTCGGGTTTCCGGAAGATTTTTCAATACCGAAACTATGATGGAAGGCTTGGTCGTCACTAGAAAGCAATGTATTTTTGTTTAAAAATATCGTTGAAAGTCCTAATGGAAGCTCTTACTAGGAGCAGGCGTAGTCTGTTGTGTCATTTCAGTTATGAACGTCGTCAACGAAGGAACTCCAACAGACGAGGGGCCTTGTGTGACCACGGTGTCCCCAGAAGTGACGACAGATGGCGCCTCCGTCGTAAGAGAAGTGAGAGAAGCTGCCGTCGTTGACGTCACTGTCTCCGTCGATGCAACAGGAATTATCGCCAGCGTACTCGAAGCATGCGTGGGAAGTGGTGAAGAAGATGGTAACTCCGTCGTAATCGGCCCAGTCATGCAAAAATCCGCCGGATCGACCAACGAAGCACGAAAAACCCCCTCGCAGCGAGTCGGAGCCAACAATTCAACTTTCTGCATCAACAAAGCAAGATGAAACACAGCTCAAAAAACCTGTCTTCATCCACCAACCGTTATGCCGAAGAAGTCGAGGCAGCCAAAATCCAGAACTCGGCCCGTCAGGACGATCCTCCCGTCGAATTCGGAAGCGCGAACCGCGTCCGCGTCGCACGCCTCAGAGCAATGAAGGCGGCCATCTTGGACGTGACACCTACCGGATGACGCATCAGGATGCACCACCAGCAGCACCAACAACACGGACATCGCGAAACCCGCCATTCTTGAATGAAAAACTGTGAAAATGTCAAAGATGCACTTGGATTAGATCTGATCCTACTTTGTTAAGGGTTCTATGGGAATTCACCTTTTCGCTCGAATCTCGGAAACCGAACGGTGAAACTTGCCGAAAATTGCAGGAGATCTTCCTTTCACTACCTGAAACCGAACGAACCGTTTAGTTTTTTCATTTTTAATCGCGTTTGACGTCAAAATCGATCGTTACGAGCATCTCGCGAACGAAGTCCGCGAACGAAAAAACGCGAAATTAACCCCTA